TGGGTTTTTTTTTTTGTTTTGTTTTTTTTGAGTTGGAGTCTCACTCTGTTGCCCAGACTGGAGCGCAGTGGCCACTCCCGGCCACCGCAGCCTCGACCTGCTGGGCTCCGGCGATCCTCCCGCCTCAGCTTCCAAGTAGCCGGAGCTACAGGTGTGCGCTACCACGCCCGGCTAAGTTTTTATTTATTGTAGAGATCCACGCCCGGCTAATTTTTGATTTATTGTAGAGATGAGGTCTTGCCAAGTTGCCCAGCTGGTCTCGAACCCCTGGGCTCAGGCAGTCCACTCACACTCACCTCCCAAAGCGTGGGATGACAGGCTGAGCCACCCAGCTCGGCTGACCTTGTGCATGTTAATGACCTCTTTGGACCTCGTTTTAAATAGGGATCCTAGTGTGTGCTTTTAATGGGGTGACTGTGAGGAGGAACGAAGAGGAATGTGTTCACTCAGACCCACTCATTTTCAACTTCTGGGCAAGAGGCTTCACAGCTCTCTGTTCCTCAGTTTCCCCAACGGGAATAATAAGAGTCCCTCCCTCAGAGGGATCTGTGTGACATGAGTTCGTGCATGGAGGGGCTCCCAATTCCACACTGTAAGGTGTGAGTGCCTGTCGCTGTTGTCAAGAAGAGAAGTGGCAACCATGGTCAAGGTGTTCTGCCGTAGAGGATGCCCTGGGCTGGGTCCTTGTGGTGGGACTCTGAAAGTCTCCGCAGATGCGACTCCCCCAGGCTCTTCTCTCGCCTCCTTCTTGCCAAGGTTGGCTGGGAAAGGGCCCTAGTGAAGGGGCGGTCGTAGGATAGACACAGGGAAGAGCTATCCAGAGGGAATGCTGGTTAGGACCTGGGGTCTCTCTGGCAAGAGCCCTTTAAGAAGGGTCTCTAGCCGGGCGTGGTAGCGCGCACCTGTAGTTCCGGCTACTCGGAAGGCTGAGGCGGAAGGATCGCCGGAGCCCAGCAGGTCTAGGCTGCAGTGACCGGGAGCGGCCACTGCACTCCAGTCTGGGCGACAGAGTGAGATTCCAACTCAAAAAAAAAAAAAGAAAAGAAAAGAAAAAGAAAGAGGAAAAAAAAAAGCGTCTTAGGACTCTGCAACTCATTCCTTGCGCTGTTGACTCTGTGCTCTGTTATGTCTGGGAGACGTCCATTCATTCACTCATTCAGTCTTCAGTCAATCCCTCAGCAGGTGACGGGGGGGGGGGGGGGGGGGGGG